TCAACTCCCGCACCAATCCATAGTAACATTTTCCTATGAACATACTGAGGTGAATTACTCATTGAACGTAATTCCACGATAAAATTCGGCGCAACTGGCGGATATGCTTGTCGTCTATCATTAGTTGATAGCGCATTCCATCTGCAATAATAAGATAAAAGTTAAAAAATGGCGCAAAATATACAAAATATCTTTACAATAGATAACGCTCAGAAACCTGGAACTAAGGACAACAGAAGCTTTAGGACTCAGAATATCACCACTATTCAATGTATAGGTTCCCTATAATAAGTAAAAAGACGTGGTTTTAACATGAGAAAAAAAATGTCAATGATGTCTGCATAATATACCTGGGAGCCACCATGGTGTCCAACCAAATTGGCGTTAGAAGGCACCATCCAACAATTTGATAAATCATAAGTGACTCTCTTTGATCTAAAGAACAATTTTTTTATCTATAGTTTTAATACTCATTTTCATCTCGATAAAACTATCAAGTAGTGGCTTTAGCAAATTATACAGTATACCGGTTTCATTGTGAACTGATTGTGGAGGCATTATTTCAAGCTGACCTTGGATAAGATTCATTCGATAGAAAGAGTTAGGGTTTGCTAATGCAATTTCTTCGAAGAGTTTATGATCACAATTGGGAATAATTAATTGTGGGAGATAAGAAGGCATTCGGGAAAAACAAGTTTTATACTCGGAGGTTATAAGCAGGAATACTTGATATCATAACCAAAGAGGAGCGAGTATACCACAAGATATAAAAATAATAAAAGGCGCAAAGAAAATCACTGGAAATAAAAAGAGAGAATTTACACCGAAACAATGATTTTTTATGGGTATATACTTCAACAAGTTTACAAATTATGATGTAATGTGAGTTTGTGTCACTTCCCCTTCTTTTAATTTTCCCCGAATAACACCACCATCTATTTATTCACTAAAACAAATCCCTTGGTGTATTACTAATAGCGGAGAAAAAAGACAAAAGCAAAACTATCCGACGAGCCATTAGAATTATATAATCCTAGAGCCGATGTCCTACTCAAGACGAATAGTGTTTACTTTTGCTGAAAAAAAAACGTGGGAGGTACAGTAATAATATTGATTGGCCAGAAATGCGCATAGTATACCGTAATTTTTCTTGTAAAGGATCCGAGGTATCTTATAAATCACTTATACTAAATATAGTTAGTATTAAAAATTCTTTATTTATCACGTTAAACATCATACCCCTCAAAATAAAACCTTATAATATATAAAAATTAATAAATGCATGGTTTTTTTAATTCCAGCCATTACTATAATTTTGTGCTTCTTGTAAAGGATAATATAAACTAAACTCGTTTTCTTTATTGCTATTACAAACATAATTTTCTATTTCATTGCTTTAAATTCTTTTTCAAATATATTATTAGTATTGCTATAGTCCTGAAAATTGGAATCAAACAGACTCACATAGACTCACATGAGATTTGGAACTCTATTAAAAATGATGATGGGTTATAATCACATATTAAATTTACTATGAACCCAAGAATCGAGAATTGAATCAAATCAAATCATTAGAATCTTTAATTACTGCTAGTGTTGTTCTCAATGGTGAGTCTATTACTACTTTGGACCAGAACTCATGCTACATTGGGGGGTGGGTCTATATTGCTAGTGATACCAAAGATACATGTGACAATAATTATCTAACTTCTTCTTCTTCTTAAGTCAATTTTTTCTCCTTAATTCTTGCTGCCAAACTGTGGAGCCTGTGGATTTTTTCTAGGATAATAAAAAAAACAAATAAGGTAAGTTTATTAATTATTATTGTATTAGCACAAACATTTGGGTTTTGCAAATAGATGTTTTATTAATTAATTATATTTCTATTTGCTTATACTGACTATATTTGATATTTATAATACTGTGACACATCTTCCTAATCTATCATTATATAATGCAAATCCAACAGATTTTTCCAAACTCTGCACCTATAAATTATATATGAGTGATGTATGATTGATGCTCTGTGTGATGCTGTGCTGGGTTCCATATGTTGCATCATTCTCTCTATTATTAATTTTCTGATAATACTAATTATTTTTTTTATATCTTTAATTTTATTTTAATCAAAAATTAAAAATCTTCTATTCCACTTTTATTATTTGAAATCCTATAATATTTAAATAAATGTTAAAATAATTTTGAATCAATTTTATCCCATGCTTATTTAAACAATTCTGTCATAATATTATAAGCTAATTATTTAATTTATCCTGTAAATGTAAAATTTTTTATTTTGTAAGTTATCCAATTATTATAAATTTGTTAGATCTAAAAAAATTTAATTAATTAGTAATTATATTATTAACTATATTATTGATAATATTTATTTAACTTTGATTTAAAAGATTTATTAATTGAAACATCAAGAAGTTGAACTTTAGAAATTAATTTAGCAGCAATTATAACAATATTGATATAATTTTATTTAAAATATTCTTTTACAAAATCAAATAAATGAGCATAAAAATAATCAAATACCAATAAAGAATATAAATTATTGAATTATTTTTTCCAAATAAATTCAATCACATGAAGCATTCTTTAGTATTTATTCATTCTTATTGATTAGTATAAATTAAAACTCCATTTAGAAATTACAAATAAGATATATTTTTAAGTTTAAAATAATCATTAAAAAAAGTTTAATTCCATTAGCCATACATGTAAAAACAATGATAAAACTGGTTTTTTCATAACTACTATTTTAATATTTATAAAGTTTATATCTTTTTTATCAATTATAGTATTACTAATAATATTAAATATTAATAAGTCTTGTCTCTATTTTCAATTAATGCAAATGAGTAATTAAACTAATTTTTATATATTATAAAACTAAGAAATTCTTGTTATTTTTTCTTTAAATCTTTAAATAGATATTATTTCAAAATTATTTTATAATAATCACTAAGATAATATTATTTTAAAAATCTATCAAATCATTTGAAGTTTGTTAATATTTGGATAAAAGCAAAATAATTTTTAATAAAAAAATATGCTTTTATTTGAATTCTATAATAGTTAACAAATTTAAATTCATGGTACAAATTTTAAATTCAAATATAAAGTTCTTCGAATTTTGAAAACTTTGATTAAATGTCAATATTTAAACAATAAATATATGATTATATATAAATAAGCTTTTGTTAATTTTTGTATTAATCTCTAATTTGTTTTGGTTTAAGTTGAAATTTTGCTATTATATTATTTACTATAGCTTCAAGATTTTTATCAAGATAAATTAAAATAATTAATTTTTTATGATTATTCAATTTTGGCTTACAATGTATGGATTTCTTAACTTTATTTCAAAGATTCTCTATTGAATTCAGATCTGAACTCTATGGAGGCCAGTCTATTACCCTAATATTTTTATTTTTTATAAATTCCTTTGCAATTTTAGCAGTGTATAGTCTTGTGTTGTCTTGTTGAAATAGCAGATAACTACAATTCTCATTTCTTGAAAAATTTTTTATAGCAGGTAAAACATTCTTATAGAGAATTTTGATATGTAAAGCACTAGTGACAAAAGACTTTAATAAAATAAGAGGTCCAACTTCATACTGGAAAAGTTAACTTCAATACATATAATCAGAGTTATGTTTAATAATGCAACTTAAATACTCAATATTTCATTTTTTATGTGCCTCATGTCAAACCCAATAAGAACATTCTTGAAAAAGGTAAATTGTAGTCTTATTTATTACAAAACATATTGAAAGTATTGAACAGACCAGTTTTTATAAACAAGAGATTAGTTAAGTCTTTTGATTGCATTTTCTGAAAAGACCAACAGCTTAAGACAGGCAATACAAGAATTTAAATCTTTTTCATACAGTGCATAACGAATAATATATTTTGATTTTAATTTATTTCTGAGCAATAAAAAGATTAATAATCTGAAAAGAGTTAAATGTCAATTTTTATTAATAACTAGATTCTTAAATTTAGAATGCTCAAAAGGGGTAAACAATTTCAAATGTTCCAGGCATTTATTTTTTTTTATAATTTTATAGTATTTGTTTTAGAAAACTCTTTAATAATATTTCTACAACAGATTTTTCATAACCTACCAAAGCTACAATAGTATGAAGTGAATTTTTTTTAAGATATTCAAAAATAATTGCACTTATTTGTTCAGCTGTCAGATCTTTATTGCTACCTATTGTTCTATAAAAAAAAATAACATTATCAATTTGGTACTTATATACTTATTAATTAATTATTTGATATGATTTTAAATGCAATTTTATTAAATAAAATTATAAACAAACAATAACAATATAAAAATAAATAAATAAAAAACAAAAATTTTAATTTTAATCTTCAGTTTAAAAGAAAAAAACTAAGTTGAAGTTTTTTTAATATAAAATTTGAATAAATAAATAAAATTGCATAAAATTTAAACAGATTATATTTTAATATTATATAAATATATTATTAAATTTTTAAAATTTATTTATTAATAAAATTTTTTATTATTTAAAAAATAAAAGTGTTTACAGTAATATGATATGTCTCTGTAATATAGTATTTGATACTTTTTTTTTTTATTACGAACAAGCATTAAATGCAAGACTTTTTTAAATAAGAATATTTACTATTATTACATTAATAATCTTTACATAGTAAATTAATTGTAGCCTATTACAACAAAATTATTGAGATTAAGTACCACTATGGAAGTGGGCTCGCAACAATAGTATGAATGGCTAATGCCTGTTCAGAATAATGATATTACTGTTGAAGTGAAAATTAACTTGTCAGTGTAATTGTGTAAAGTATTAAGTAAGTCTAAAATTGTGTTAAATGTTGTGTTATCATTTGGATCTAAGTTTGGTGACTTTGTGATAGAAGTTTTTTTCTATTTTATGCCAAATGATAGTGATGTGGTTGCAGTAGTAGATAGTAATTTCTAGGTCTTATATAAGATTTTGAGAGTATAATTAAAAATAACTTTTTTTTTTGAAAGGGATTAAATAAAAGATTGAATTTGCCAATGGCTAGGTTTAATAAGTTATTATTTGTTAATTTGAATGCACCTATGAAGTCAGTAACTTTAATGCTTTTAGGATTTAAATCTAGGATAAGATTTTCAAATTTAGTTTTCTTTTTATCAATTAGGAATTTGTTGTGGATACAAGAGAAGATATGTAGCAAATTCTCAAAATAGGTATTGTATCTTGGACACAGGTTGTTAGGATATAGACTCAGATAGTATTTGTAAAGTTTAATTCTGGTTGGAAGCTAGTTTGCAAAGAGTTTTTTATCTGAATGTTGACAATACTCTGTATTTTATTTGGTTGTGAGCTTTAAGTTTATTATTCATTTTGATAATAGTTTCTAATTTCTCCAAAAATATGAGTTTGTAAGTGGCTGAGTAACTGAGAAGTGTGTTAAATAAATTGATATAGTAGTTTGTAAATTTTACCAATGGGTGATACTTGTAGCATAAGTGTTATTAATTAGAGAAAATGATATGAATATAAATGGAAAGTATTGGGAATTAGTGAATTGACTATTACTAGTTGAAATGGATTTATTTGGCATAATGCCACTCATCAATCATTCGTCAAAAAAGTATATAATTCGGCTAATCAAAATTAT